TTAAAGCTGTGGACCTACTTCCTGTAAAAGTGCACACACATAGCAATTGGAACATCATTTCCCAGTATTCACATCCCAGAAACCTCCCATCCATCAATATTCTTCCAAGAGTCTTCTCAGATACAGACCGGCAGCTAAGATGGTTTTTATAAAAAGGAGATGGTAATAGTACCCACTTCACAAGGTAGTAACGAAGTGTGCATTTTTTTCTAAATGGAAAGCACTTAGCACAGTGTCTGGTCTGTGGTAGGAAATTAAATGGGAATTATTATTGTGCTGTTATTATTATGAATCTCTTGCCTCCTGCAAAGCCTCCTACCTGGTCTCCATGCCTCCAACTTTCCTCTTCTCAATCCACCTTCTGCTGGCAATCTGGTGGAAGGCAATCTGTAGCCTGTTAGGATGCTGGTTCCCCAAATGGTTACTGATGATGACCATTAGAGGTAGGCGTGGCCTCTCTGCTGATTAGAGTGTACATTTATCCCTCTAAGGCATCCTTATCCCACTTGGGGTGATTCTTTCTCTTTGACTAGGAGAGTAAGATACTCCTTTTCTCCTGTGTGAATCTAATGTGCATTTTCCAGCACTGTTTTAAACTTGGAATCACCTTGCTTTTTATTTTAACTTTTGGTCTGCATGGTTGATGTTGCCAGGGACCATTCTTGCCGTATAAGGTGCAAGTATTTTATTTTTGTGGGGATAGTGTGGACAAATAGAGCAGGTGCTATGGGTTTATTTTCTGGATATGCCACTTCCTGGGTAATGTTTTTCCAAGTCCCCACTCTTTTTTTTTTTTCCAAGTCCCCACTCTTAAACCGCAGGATCCTCATCCTTTAGGGCTGCTGTGAAGAACAGTTGAGATGGTGCTTTGTAAACTTTCACCTGATATAAAAATACTATTTTTCCCTCTATGTTACATTTCAAGCAAAAGTGAACTGGAAAAGAAGATTCTTTTTTGCTTTCTTTTTCAACAGCTTTTTCAGACATCTTTAAAACAGCTCCCTTGCTTATTGTTGGATTCCAAAACCATACCTTGAGACTATTTCTTGTAAAGTACTGCTGATAAGTACCATTTGAGTATGCCTTCCCTAAGGGATTAAATGTTGCTGAAAAGGTGCTCTTTATTGTGATTCACTGTCCGCTGATGATGCGGTGTCAGCCAGGGATGGAGTTAATACTGATATAGACTACTGTGCTTTTAATGTCCTGCCAGGGTTGTGTTCTACCATTTACTATTCAATGCAAGACTCATTCAAAACATACTAAGTTATTCATTCCCTTGCTCTTATATTTTATGGCTTCCAGGGGCTCTTTGAGAAGGAAGTAAGTATAGTGATAACAATGCTTTGGGGAAAACTGTGTGCATGGCAACCTGTTTTAAAACATGCTTTCTCCACACGAAATGGGTTTTGCTATAAAGTATTATAGGAATTTATGCATGATGGGGATCTTAAGTATGCTATTAGAATTTTTTAATTCCAACTACCTCTTTCTGTTAATGGAAAAGAAATGGTTTAACAGCTGCCTCAGGGTAACAAAGAATGTGGACTATGTGAGGCAGTACTCTACCGTTGCCCTGGTGCCCTGGAATATATGTTTTCTTGTATTAGGAATTTATTAGGAACCAGAAGTCTTTGACAAACAAACTTGACTATGACAAGCCTTTTGTTTGTCAAAGAACCACATGTAGACCATGGTGGTCAAGTCTTGTTGAGTTGAGCCAGTGTTGAAGGATGGCAAGTCCTGTGTGTTGCCGCTGGTGATTTTGATTTTGTCTTGGAAATAGTACAGTAAACAGCTTTTTTTTTTTTAGTAAACAGCTTTTCAGAAAAGAGTACTTCCATTATTTGGAGGGTGCATGCATGAGGGAGATTTGCTGTGATTTTTACTGTACATAGCCGGACCTTACAAAAACCTTTCTTAGAGAGTGACAAGGAGAACCATTGCATGGTGATTATAGTTTGTTTTTGTTAAAATCGTTATTCATTTGTTTTAAATCAGTGCTATCCAATAGAACTTTTTTGCACTGGTGAAAATGTTCTATAATCTGCACTGTCCTTATGATTATGTCAATTTTAATCTTAGCTCTATTTTAATTCTAGCATTGGCAAAGTTTTTATGTATTTGTGTGCTAAGTTGCTTCAGTCATGTCCAACTCTTTGTGACCCTATGGACTGTAGCCTGCCAGGCTCCTCTGTCCATGGGATTCTCCAGGCAAGAATACTGGAGTGGGTTGCCATGCCCTCCTCCAGGGGATCTTCCTGACTCAGGGATCGAACCCATGTCTCTTATGTCTCCTGCATTGCAAGCAGATTCTTTATCCCTGAGTCACTGGGGAAGCCCTATATATATATGTATTGGTTTCTTATATTATACATAGAAGTGTAATATTTGAAACTAGGAATAAAGAATGCTTTTACCCTAAAAAGAAAATCTGCACTGTCCAGTATCATAGTCACCAACCACACATGCCTGTTGAGCACTTGAAGTATGGCTCAGTGTATACACATGAGGAATGGAATTTTAAATTTTATTTGGTTTTAGTTGATTTAAATTCAGATAGCTACTGTGGCTTGTGGCTACCATATTGGACAGTGCAGGTTTAAAACTGTCTGCTCCTCAAATGTAAGAAGGCTCACATGAATAGTTCCATATTCTGTGGCCTTTCAAAAAATTTAACATGTAAGACCCTAATACCTAATAACTCTCCCCACTGAGAAGTGTGTGTGTATGTGTGTGTACAGAGATTATTTAAAGAGATAGGTTAGTCTTAAGATAGAGCTGAGATGTCTTGAACTAAGTGAAAATATCCCCAGAGAAGTATATCTTATGACTTAAGTCTACTCTATGTGAAACAAAAAATGAACCCCTAAGTCTTACGTGGCACAGATTTTATTGCATTTGCAGGAGTTGTTGCTGTTCTGCATGCAGAATTGTGTTTCTAGCACTTGTGTTTTGCTGGCACATGAATGCCATAAAATCAGCATGCTTAGCAGCGTTGCCTATTTTGAGAATTCTGTTCTTGAGTGTTGTGGTTTATTTTGTTGTTCTATCTCTGTCTCTGAACACATATGAAAAAATGAGTGAACCCAGTCATTTGCCTTGGAGCTTCCCTTTGTTAGGCTTACCCTGTGCCATTTTGATGCATTGGCAGAGTTTAGGGCTGATAGCCAGCAGACAGGAAATGAGAGCCATTAGGTTAGAGCCACCCAAGTCCACTTGTTAAAGTGGGGAGGGAATTACTCTTGGTACAGGAAAATCATTCACTTGGCAGTTTTCACTGCTTCTTTCTATTTCCATGACTTTTTGAGAGATGTCATGTTATAAAAACATATAACCCTCATAACCAGCAATGGCTTATATTTTTATGTAATTTCAGAGTACATTTGTGCAGTCTCTTTTGGCCCTCATAACATTTTGATGAGGTGTTGTAGGTATCCTTAGTAATTTTTTCTGGACTCTCAAGGGGTCAAGTGACCAGTCTGAAGGTACGTAGCTAATAACTACTACAACCAAGAGAGCGAGGGGTAAGATATGGGCCCACCCCTCTCTTTCCCGAGTTCAGCAGCAGGGAAGGAAGCTTGAACTGCTAGAGAAAATGGAGTTCCTTTGGCTCTTTGAACCTTCTCACTTGTGGTATCAGGGTACACACCTTTTGGGCCCACTGTAGCACACAGCTGAGACTTGAATTTGTGGCCTGGGTTAGCATGATATGGGGATTCTGGCCCCACCTCAAACAAGCTGTGTGCCTGGTGAATCACTTGAACATCCTTGACCTTCATTTCTTCTCACGTAGGAAGTTGAGTGCATCTTCCAAATCCCCTTTTGTTGCAGAGAACCAGAGGGGACTGTATGTTTATATAGTGAGAGTGCATGGATAAGGATATATCAACTTTTCTGGGTTCTTGTTTTGAAAAAATATTCTTTGGTTATTATGTGTTTTCTTTATTGAAAACCCTTTGATAACAGTAAAAGTGGTTTTCCTGGATTAAAATCTAACTAGGAGATATTTTCTATTTGATTGTTTATCTAACAAATCTTATCTTTTTTGCCATTCTTGAGCTTTTTCTTTGTCTTCACCATACTATAGCCCCACCCTCCCCCTTTCCAGTATTTTGTCCAGAAGGCAGGGAGGAGAGTGAGGTTTTGTTGATTTTGTTTATGTATTTATTGACATTTACTCAGTATGTTTAGTGTAAATCTTTGTTTTCTAGCCTGTCAGCATAGGGTTTCTCCAATTGCTTCCTCTTCTCTCTTTTAAAAAAAGTGAATTTTGAACTCTTACGGAATTCAGATTTCTGTTGCTATAAGTCAGTAAAAACTTGGCCAAGGCTAGGAGTAGCTCAGGCGTAAAACACTTATGTCCTGGCAAAGCCATCTGCATAGATCAGTAGAGCTCTTGAGGGGTTGATCAGCCGGCTTGTTTACTTGAAACCAAGCAAGAGGAACCCCAAACTGAGCCTGTGACTCCAAGTCAAAATACAATTGTAGGCCTATCTCGTGGAGAAGCTTTATTTCTACAGAAACTCAAGATGGCAGCATCTATGTCAATAATCAGTCCTACTTTGAATACTACATGTAACTCGACGTAGTTGGAGCAACACATTAAGTTTCTAATTTGAAAATAGCAAAATTGTACAAATTATTTCTCAAACCCTTGTACCTATGAGAATGCTTATTGAAATGGAAAACTTACATGTTGTTGGCCTATATTAGTGGTCTTCAGTACATTTCAGTCTAAATTGAAATGCTTTTATAAATTTTCTAAATAAAGTACTTCCAATTTAAAATAAAAGCAAGTGATCAGTTCCTCTGACAAAAGAAGGAGACCATTGGTTATGGTTGGATTCATGTCTTCCTGGAGTGACTAAGTAGTATTAGAATATTCCTTAGTATTTTCTCTGAGGGGGAGTAATTGTGGAAAGTGTTTGTGATCATAAATAGAATAATTGTGCAAAATTTTTTTACATTTTGCTGAATCCATTCATCTTTTGCTCTAGTGACAGATACAGTGATGCCAGTGATGACAGCTTTTCAGAGCCAAGGTTAGCTGAGTTGGAAATCAGCTGAAACTGATCCATGACTTGGAATCACCAGGACAACCTGAGAGGGTGAGATGGAGCCTTGAAGTTCTTGTTTGTTTTGTAGACAAGCTGTCGTCTTGGTGCAGAAGGGAGCATCACAGGACTCATCTCACAGGATCCCGGGATGCTCCTGTTTGACTGGCATAGTGAGCAGAACAAACTTGACAGCTGATTATGCTTCCGGTAATCTGGAACACCCCTGAGAAAGCTGGCAGTTAGGAATGTGCATGAGGCCAGGAATAAGCATATCTGAGTACCTATGAATGGATAATGGAGGCTGTGGTGGTTAGAGCTGTACGAGCATAGCTGAGGGGTCAGCAGACTTGTGCTGGAAAGGGCCAGACAGGAGCTGTTTTCAGCTTTTCAGGCCCTGCAGTGCCTTGGAGATGGAGAACAGGCTTGGGTGTCCACACATGAATAGGCAGGGCTATGTCCCTATACAACTTTATTTCCAAACACAGTGTGTTGACCCGTGATCTAGGTCGCTCATGAAAAAGCAGACTTCCTTGAATTTGTAGAAAATAAAATAGTGTTTTCTTTCTTTGTAGGGAGATGTCAGAGACTGGCTTGGCTTCCAAGGGCAGCTTATGTCCCTTGCAGCTTCTGGAGGTTTTATTAGAGAAGGTAGCAGCCTGGATGGCTTTATTCCATTCACACTCACAGGCCGCCGCTGCTTGGACATCCCTAGGAGTAGGACAGGTCTTAAAGTGTTCCTGTTCTTTAGTAGTTCAGTTCAGTTCAGTCGCTCAGTTGTGCCCGACTCTTAGTGACCCCATGGACTGCAGCACGCCAGGCCTCCCTGTCCATCACCAACTCCCGGCACTTGCTCAAACTCATGTCCATCGAGTCGGTAATGCCATCCAACCATCTCATTCTGTGTCATCCCTTTCTTCTCCCACCTTCAATCTTTCCTGGTATCAGGGTCTTTTCCAGTCAGTAAGTTCTTCGCATCAGGTGGCCCAAGTATTGGAGTTTCAGCTTCAGCATCAGTCCTTTTAATGAATATTCAGGACTGATTTCCTTTAGGATGGACTGGTTGGATCTCCTTGCAGTCCAAGGGACTCTCAAGAGTCTTCTCCAGCACCATAGCTCTTTAGTAGGGACAGCAGTTTTTGGAAAATTTGCACAGAGTCAGTCACTCCAGTATGATTTCTCTTCTTATTTCACTTAGGGGCAGAACATTGCTGTTCACCAGGGAAGGCACATCCAGGTTTGTTTAGGTTTGCCTCAAACATGGAGCCTTTCAGAAGCAAACCAAAATGATGCAAAGATTAGTTGGAGATACTTTAAAGACTTACATTATTCAGCTTCTGATGTGGCTAATATGTATATTCTTTTTTTTTTTTTTAAGGCTCTGAAGTAACTGAAGCCAAGATGAAGGAACTATCTGATGAAATCACCACACTCGTAGAATCACTCTGTTCTCCACCAAACATGGGATGTCCAGCCTCAAGGGGAATTTAATAATACATACTTCAATAAACCAGAATCAAAGGGGTGGTTTTTCTTTTTCCTCCAGAGGCGACCGTTGGTTCTTGCAAATTTCTTCAGCCGATTAAACATTTCCCAACCATCTCAGTGGACAGAAAATGTTTTGGTGTTTTGTCTGGCATATGGTGATGTCCAGGTGGTAAGCAAGGATCCAGGTAACTGAGGCTTCTCCAGGTTATATGGGAAGGCTGGCAGGGCACAGACAATGACTAGTTTTGAGTCAAAAATGAGTCCTTCTGTTACCTGGAATTCAGCCATGGATTTACATGTGGCCCAAGCTTATTTCAATTTCTCACTGTTTATTTCTATTAAAAAGTAAAATGAAACAGATCCAAGACTAGGGTTGGTAAGTAAGACCCTGGCCTCAGGCACTGAATTTAAGGGAACATAAAAAAATTCAGGAGTCAAGATCAGTAACACATATACACACATATTTAATTGAGGTGAAATTCATATAACATAAAATTAACCATTTCAAAGTGAACAATGCAATAGCATTAGGTACATTCACAGTGTTGTGCAACCACCACCTTTATCTGGTTCCAAAACATTTCCATTCCTCCAGAATAAATCCCCACATCCATTAGCAGTCACTGTCCATTCCTCCCTCCCAGCCCTCTGCAACTCCTTTCTATTTCTGTGGATTGCCTATTCTGGATATTTCATATTACTGGAATCATACAATATGTGGCCTTTTGTGTCTGGCCTCTTTCACTGAGCTTGATGTTTTTTAAGTTCATCCACAGTGTAGCCTATGTCAGTTCTTCCTTCCTTTTTATGGCTGAATAGAAAGAATTTCCTGGTATGGATTAGACTACAATTTGTTTATCCATTCATCCATTGATGGGCACTTGGGTTGTTTCTACCTTTTGTCTTTTGTGGATAGTGCTTCTGTGAACAGTCATGTGTAAATAATTGTATTTGTTTTTGTTTTTGCTACACCGTGAGGTTTGTGGAATCTTAGTTCCCTGACTGGGGATCCAACCCAGGTCCTCGACAGTGAGAGCACAGAGTCCTAACCACTGGACCACCACGGAAGTTCTGTAAATAATTAAATATGTTTGTTTGTTTTTTTAAAAGCTCTTTTGGTAAACAGTTATACCTAGGAGTGGAATTACTTATGATAATTCTGTTTGACTTTTGGAGGAAGCATCAGTAGTATTTTAATGTAAGAATTTTTAAAAACCAAAACTCATTTTAAAAAATTCACAAGGAGCAAAATACCAGATTTTAAAATAAAGATAGAATCTAGCCCTGCATCTCCCTCACCTGCGCCAGTCCCCGGCCGACTGTACAGCATTCTTATCCAGTATGCTTCCTGATTTCCCTGTTGAATGTGCTTGCGATGACTTAGTTGTTGCTTACATTTGAGCCTTCTGAAACTAATATAAATAGTTTAACTGCTCACTTGATTTTTTTGTGGTTGTCTTTGGCCTTTAACTTTTTTCTCTTAATGCTGTAAAACATTATTTTGTGAACTGCTACAGAAAATTCATCTACCAAACATGCAGAAATGAAATGAATACTTCTGGTAAACAAAAATATTAAAGAGCTTTAGGGCGCCACTTGTGAAAATTACAGCTTGAAGATCACAAGAGACTCCAAATGAAAAGCCCACACGGAAGGTTAAAAGCTGGAATAGGCCTCCTAGAGAGAGATACGTAAGCACCGAGGGGATTCTTGAACAGCACAAGGGGTAGTCTGGTTTCAAAGGGCGTTTACGATTGTAATCATTATGACTTCTAAAATAACTTATAATAGAGTGCTTACGCTTTGGGCTAATGATGCATGTAAATAGGACCGGAAGGAAGGGCACTTAAAAAACAACAAACCAGCCTCTTTGTTGTTGCTCCAGGAGATTTTCTCTTTTGGAGACAGCCGTTGAACTTGGAATCCAGCGAAGCGCAGAAAGGTGGTAGCACACCTGCTTAGGATAGTGGAGCAGCCGTGGCCGTGAACACATAGGAAGGTATTATAAATCATTCATTTGGCAAATATATCTTGATGAGTAACACCTGGTGTAGGTGCTGGGGGAAGTGAGGGGAAGCAGAATCTGCCCCCCAAGTATGTCTCTTTGGCAAAAGGATTATTTTAGGCTGATTTTAAAGAAACAGCAGACAAGGAAAAGCTTTGAAAACTGAATAGAAGTTGCCCTATTTAAGAGACATTTACATTTATAAGGGAAACCTCCATGACTGTAAATCTCCGGAACCGCTTCTCAGTGAAGAAGGCAATGACTTCAATCTGCATAACAACCTCACCCTGGATTCCTGGGCTTTGCCTGGTCCCCTCCCCTACCTGGCCTCCCCCACAACATCTTTTCTCTTTAGCTGGAGATGGTAGCAAAGATGATGGTTTGGGCTGTTTAGAAGTTACTCAATTTTCCTTGGTCTCTTCCAGCAGGTATACATGCTATTAAACTGAAACCAAGCAGGACCCTCTTGGATACCAAAGACTTTCCATGTCCTGTTTCTTGTAGAAAAAGGCTTCAGTGTCCTATACTTTACCCGAGTTCCAAAGAGCAGACTTAGTCAGTAATTAGGAAAGTGAGAGGATGCGGAAACAAAGGACAGGCAGTTGGGCAACAGTTCAGTTCAGTCACTCAGTCGCGTCCGACTCTTTGTGACCCCATGGACTGCAGTACACCACGCCTCCCTGTCCATCACCAATTCCCGGAGCTTACTCAAACTCATGTCCATCGAGTCGGTGATGCCATCCAACCATCTCATCCTCTGTCGTCCCCTTCTCCTGCTTTCAATCTTTCCCAGCATCAGGGTCTTTTCCAATGAGTCAGTTCTTCACATCAGGTGGCCAAAGTATTGGAGCTTCAGCTTCAGCATCAGTCCTTCCAATGGCTATTCAGGACTGATTTCCTTTAGGATGGACTGGTTGGATCTTCTTGCAGTCCAAGGAGCTCTCAATAGTCTTCTCTAACACCACAGTTCAAAAGCATCAATTTTTTGGCACTCAGTGTTCTTTATAGTCCAATTCTCACCTCCATGCATGACTACTGGAAAAACGATAGCTTTGACTAGACGGACCTTTGTTGACAAAGTAATGTCTCTGCTTTTTAATATTCTGTCTAGGTTGGTCATAGCTTTTCTTCCAAGGAGCAAGTGTCTTTTAATTTCATGGCTGCAGTCACCATCTGCAGTGATTTTGGAGCCCCCCAAAACAAATATTGGGCAGCAATAGTTCAGTGATGATATTGAGCCCTAGTTCCTCTTCCAGGGATACATGACAATCTGATGCTTATCTTTGAGTTGTTCTGCAGAAAATGAGGGCTTCTCTTGTGGCTGAGATGGTAAAGAATCTGCCTGCAATGCAGGAGACCTGGATTCAATCCCTGCGTCAGGAAAAACTAAGACCCTCACCCTAGTGATGGATGGTGACTAATTGTTGAGCATAAGCAATAGACCTCAGATTGATTGAAACCAGGTTGATGATGTTGACTCCCAAAACATTACCCTGTCGCTGCCTCACACACCAGTCAGA